ATGAGTGTTCTGTCCTCCTGGACAGAAGCAGGACAGAGAGCTGCCATGGGTGCTGGGAACTGAACTCAGGACCTCTGGAAGAACAGTCAGTGCAGTGTTCTTAACCTCTGAGCCATCTCTCTGGCAGTAGCTCAGATTTATTTTTAAAACTTTCTGTGTTCTTTTGTTTTCTGTTCTTAAGCATCTCTGTAGCCTAGGCTGAACCTATGTAACCAAGGATGATTTCTGAACTATGTTTTAAAGACTGATATCTTTAGTTTTGTGCATATGTATCTACGGTGACTATATGCCATGTGTGTTTGGGTGCCTAGGAGGCCAGACCCATCAGATCCCCTAGACCTGCGGTTACAGGCAGTTGTGAGCTGTATAGAGTGGATTCTGGAAACTGAACTCAGGTCCTCAGGAAAAGGAGGCACTTGCTGGATCTTTCTGTGTGTGTGTGTGTGTGTGTGTGTGTGTACTTGTGCATGCGTGTGGACTTATGTGTGTAATCATGTGTATATTCGAATGTGTATGTACTTGTGTATGTGTGCTCATGTGTATGTGTATATGTGCTTGTGTATGTTTTTGTGTGAGTATACTTGTGTGTGTATTTGTATGTGTGTGCATACTCGTGTGTGTGTGGTGCCATGTGGAGGTCAGAGGACAACTTTCAGAAGACAGTTCTCTCGTTCACCCATGTGGGTCCTAGGAAGCCAAGCCAGGCTCCAGGCTGGGCAGCAAGTAGCTTTGTCATCCTCCCCCTCCCAAGCCAGGGCACAGCCTGACTCTGAATTTTTTTTTTTTTGGTTTTTTGAGACAGGGTTTCTCTGTAGCTTTGGCTCCTGTCCTGGAACTAGCTCTTCTAGACCAGGCTGACCTCAAACTCACAGAGATCCGCCGCCTGCCTCTACCTCCCGAGTGCTGGGATTAAAGGCGTGCGCCACCACCACCCGGCTGTGAATTCTTTATAGACTCAACTGCCACAGGCAGTTTTACCTGGGGATACTGGGGATCAAACTCAGGACTTGGTGCTACATCCCCAGCCCTAACTTCTTACCAATTACCATGAGGACTACCCATGGAACATTCCCGGCCAGCTCAAATTGGACAGGTTACCCTTCTGTCTCAATGCTCACTGTATTAAAGTCCTAAGACTGTCTAGAAAATCTCCCACAACTGACAATACAGGCTCTCTTCCTGCCTTCACGCACCCATCCTTTGCTTTTCTCAGGTCTTTCAGGGCTGCTTACTCGGAATTTTTCCTCTTTCCCAATGCCACCCTAGCCCTGGCGGCCAAGATAACCAATAGCGTGGAGAAGACTGTGGTGGCCATTTTCTGTCTGCCACTCCCCTCCCCGTTCCATCCCTGGGAGGCTGATCTCAAGGGGCCACATCACGGCCTCCCTGTGCCACTGGCTTCTGTTGGATGGCAGGGAGAGAGGAACCAGGGCATGTCCACCCTCCTTGCTGTGGTCTGTACTGCAGGAGGCAGCTTCCTCCAGGACGGATTGCCTCCTCCCTGGCTCCAGCATTAATTTCCCTAGTCAAATCATCGCCTGTGTCTTTTAGGCCTCCCTTGCTTTGACTTTACTGACTCAGATAACCAGCTCAGGCTCTGTCTTCACACGTGCTCAATAAACCCTCCTCATTGGATCGAAGTTGGACTCTGCGTTTAGGCTGGGGCCCTACACACCGGTGACTTTAAATGAATTAATGTGATTGTCTTATCATCTGTCATCCACCAGGCTGTAAGCATCATGACATTGGAGCTTCTGAAGTTGCCAGTAATCATTGTTGATGATTTAGCAATTTAATGAATGAACTCACATTATTACATTAGAGACGTAATACAACTATTGCAGAGATGTTCCTGCTATGTTTGAGAGAATACCAATTTGTAAGACCAAATATTCTACCACCACTGGTTGACAACAGCTTTTGTTGGCAGGAATATCTGTACCCCCCCAAGACAATTTCAATTGTTCCAGAAACAGCATCTGCAAAAGCAGCAAGTTCTCAACTTAAAAAGATAGAATTCTATCTTTGTAGACTAAGTCATCAATGGCATATTCCAAGTGCCAAGAGGAGATGCCTGCCGGGCGGTGGTGGCTCACGCCTTTAATCCCAGGGAGGCAGAGGCAGGCAGACCTCTGTGAGTTCTAGGCCAGCCTGGTCTGCTCGAGCTAGTTCAAGGACAGGCTACAAAGCTACAGAGAAACCCTGTCTTGAAAACAAAAACAAAGATGAGGTACCCACTGGACTCCCATTGGAATTCTAAATACTAGAGTATAACAGAGTCTACATAGAAAAAGAAGAGCCCCCCAACCCTAATTTTCCATCTCCTCGCGTGGGTGACTGGGAGAGATGGATGGTGCATCATGATACAGAAAGTCAAATTCGACAGGGAGCACTTTGTCAGCATTTTGTTGTCCTAGGTTTAAAGGAAGGTGATCTAGGCACGTCCCAAAATGATAAAGCAAGTGACACACTAAAATGTACAGCTCAAGGCCTTCTACAAAATGACCCGGGACATCCCAAGTCCAGTTCACTGCCAGAATTTCCATAACATGGTCTAAAACTCTACAGATTTTCTTTAACATGGTTTTTAAAAAGTGCAAAAACCCTAAGATTACTTACAAGTCATTGCTCACGCTAGCCAAATATTTAAGACACAGGTATGTTCTACCAGAAAACATGAATTTTAACGTGGCGAAAAACCAGTTTATAAACATACATCTGTGTGTACACTTTAACAAGAACGGTTATGTCACAGCAAGCCATTGTAAGAAGAGCAGTTTACCTAACACTCGGGTTCTGGGACTGTATTGTCTCAACTCCTTAGATGTCAGCGGTCTGTCCCATTTCTGTGGCCTCCTTCCTAGACAGCCACCTATTTCTTTCACTAACTTTTTAGTGGTAGTAGAATATTTACTAAAATTGTAGCAACAAGAAGGGAAGGTCCGATATCTCTAGCACAGTTCAGTATTATCTGTAACCTCCCGCTGTGAGAGACTGCGGGATTAATAAAGCAAGATCTCTCTAATATGCAAATACTGGGATTATGAGTGATTGCTAATTATCTTGGTAACGTCTTGTTGAAGGAGTTTAAGAAGTAACTAACTAACTCGTTGAAATGTAGTCATATGGCCAGAAGCAGACAACCTACTTTGTTTTCTGTCTAATCTCGTGTAACAAAAGAATTCCATTTTCCTTATTCATCTTCATAGGTCATATGAATATAGGAAATGACCACATCAGCCTCTTAACAGATTGCTTCCCTGGTAACAGAGGGTATTTTACACCTGATTGCTGTGATTGCCCCTAAAGACATCTGAGTCCAAACGAACTGTCTTCCATCTCTCTCTTCTCAATACATTCAGCAATATGTTAAGGGGAAGGGGGGTGCAATACGATATTAGATTCCTCAATGATAATGCTACATTCACTCATTGCTATTCTAATCTTAACCCACCTATGAGTCACCAGTACTCAAAGACCCATTTCCTGACAGGGTCAGGAAAGAGATATTTCTCTTCCTAGTTTGGGAGAAAAAAGAAAAATCACGACTCCATATGCCTTCCAGGCACCCAGGCGGGGCAGGCGGAAGCCCAGCCCCGGAGACCAGGCGGCGTCCCTGGTGTCCGCAGCCGGGGCCCGGGCGTAGCCTCCCCGCAGTGCCCGGTCCTTACCCGCCAATCCGCCGCCGCCTCCCCCGTCGCCCCCGTGGCCCTTCCTCCGTTGCAGAATGAAGTAGGGGTTGGCCCGCTCGGTGATCCACAGCGCGTTGGCTAGCAGCACCTCCTCCGGATTCACCCACATGGTCCCGGTGGCCGCGGGCAGTCGCACAAAGGAGCCCGCACACTGACGCGCACTCCCGGGCACACGCGCGCCCGCCGGGCCGTGGGTGCGGCGGCTGCGATGGCCTTCAGCAGGCGGCGGCCCGAGACGCCCGGCCCGCGACGAAGACCCAGGGGGCGGCCGGGAAGGACGACGAAGGGGATCGGGATTGAGCAAGTAGCATCCTCCCCGCGGCGCCGCACTCGCCAGGCGCGCAGCCTCGAAGCCGGGCCCGGCCCACGGCGGCGCGAGCGAGCGGCTGGGCTCGGTCGCGGGGGCAACGGCGTTCAAGGGCGAGCTGGAGCGGGGACCCGAGCCCCCAGGCCGCCGTGGTCTTCAGCTGCCGAGTCCGAGATCACCGCTCGTGGATACTGCGCGTCGGGACAGAGATCTGGAAGGACGCTCCGGACACCGCGAATGAATGACGACAGCGCGGCTCACTCGCTGCGAGCCCTGGGGACCGCGGGTGGCTTCGTGCGAGCCCGGTGGGGACCGTCTGTGGAGCGCTGAGCCCCACGCCCATCCCAGCGGGGAGGACGCAGTCCGCCCGCGAGAGCCTGCGTGTAGCGTGCGTGTTCAAGGTTGACGGTCGACGGGACAGCGCCACCCCTGCCCCGGAAACGTGCGCTCCCAGGTTCCAGACCTGGCGCTAGAAACCCAAGTCCGAGGTGGACGCAGCCAATGGTTGGTAATGTTTTTGTTTCCTGCATCCTTGGACCAAGTCACGCGCTAAACTTGTCACCGCCGGTGGCCCCTCCCCCTCCATTCCATTGTAATTAAAGTGGCCCGGCTAAATGCATTACATCACTTCTTTCCTTGACCTACAGGGCGTGAGCTATAGCGAAGTTGGAAACGGATCAAAAGCTTCGAGCAACTAATTCTTGCTACAGCTGTTCCTATATCGGGCATTAAGAATTTTGAGGGGAGATAGTATGGTAGAATTCAGATGTTTATCCAAACTTAATGGACAATTTTTTAAAGGAAATTAAACCAGAAACACACAGGCCAGACACCTTCATCCTTGCATGCACAGAATCCCTTGTGGTCTCGGCTCATCTGCTTGCATACCTGATGCGACTAAGCAGATTCACCCAAGAGATCAGAGAATGTTTTCAGCAAAAGAGGCTTCCCTTCTCAGATGATGGGAGTTTACCAGACTCTGCAATGGCCATAAACGTTGGCCAATCATGGAACTTCCCTTTTTCCAAATAACTAAACCATTCAAACACATTTGGTGTAGCAATGGTTTAAATGTGTCCTTTCACCCCCAAATTCAGCCACTGTGATAGCATTAGAGGTAGGTAGGCCAAGCGGGTTCCCTCCTCAGGGATGGGCTTAAGAGGCTTACAAAGAAAGGAGCGCGCAGGGGTTGCGTTAGCCTATCAGCACAAACCTCGGAGGAAGCTGGCGTAGAACCTGCAGCAGGTGTGAATAGCGTGGCTGTATACTTGCTGACCTTGGCAACCACAAGACGGGAATTAAATCCTTTAAAATTGCCCAGGCTCAGGTATTTCATTAGGACAGCACAGGAGGACTAAGTTTCAGTATTTCTGACTTCCTGTTGAGGACTCCTTCAGCTAGCCCAGTGAGCACAACGCCAACCATTCCAATAAGTCTTGCTTCCCAGCCCTGAAGGCGCTAAAGGAATGCGTGGCTCTCTTGCCCTGACCACGTGGGTCTTCTCCCTGATTCATTTGTTTATTTACACAGCTGTCTATTGAAGCGTGAGCCAGAATGGCCTTGAAATCCAGACACTCTTGGTTCAACCTCTCTGGAAGCACAAAGGGGTTTGCTGGATGGTCTGCATTCCAGTCTGCCCGGATCCTGGCCTCGGGTCTCTTTAGAAAACACTGCACCTTCAGGCCTTTGAAGGTGTGCAACACATTTAACACAGACTCAGATATGTTGCTTTGTAGAAGTAGAGTCTTTAAAATACAATAACTGCTGAGGATGGAGACAGTGGGGACAACAAAGGGTCAAGTCTTCCTACCCTGAGAAGAAGATGAACTAAACTGTCACACAGTTAAGTCGACTGACTTTTTGTCCTCTATCTCTTGGTTTCCTGTAAATGTAAGCTCTCCTATGGGCACAGTGGAGAGAAAGTCAGCACTTTCTCTCTTATTTAACTAAATAGCTAAGCCACAATAAAGGTCTTTTCCACCATCAATTTCTGCATCCTCCAGAGAAACTAAGGTGTTGGGTTATGGACCTGAATATTAGGCAACAATTTGGAGCTTCAGCCATAAAATTGACAAGCAAAAGCACATTTTTTTGTAAAAACTGTGTTTATATTTTTATATGACTTATGACTTGCAGTACGTTGAAGTGACTCTATAGATATATTTTCACTTTCTGGAACTAGCATTTTCTTTTCTTCATTTTTTTTTGTTTTGTTTTTCGAAACAGAGTTTCTCTGTGTAGCCCTGGCTATCCTGGAACTTGCTGTAGACCAGGCTGGCCTCGAACTCAGAGATCTGCCTTCCTCTACCTCTCCCCTCTCCCCTGCCCAGTGCTTGGATTAAAGGCTCCTTAATGGCACCATTTGTAGAATCCTTATCCTGATCAAACACACGGCTTGACACCGAGCCTTTACATGCCCTGAAGTGTATATTTATTTAGCTTAGTCTTTCTTTAGTATCTTGGCACCAAAATACTATTTTCTTGTGCAATACATGCACTCAGTCACCCTCTCATTCACTTAACAGAATATCTCGTCTGCTACACCTGTGGCCTGGGCAGACACTGAACAAAGCACAGACAAGTCTCTGCTTTTGTGAAGATTAGGACACAGAATTATTATTAATAATAAAGCAAATTTGCAAAAGAAAGAAAAATGCTTGGAGAACAAAATTGGACCCTGAGCAGAATGAATGCACACACACACACACACACACACACACACACACACACACACACACACGCTACTTTCTAGTTTCTTGGGAGAAATAAGGCATAGTTTATAGACTTTGCAGTAGAAGGACTCTTCCCCAAAATGGAGACGTTACAAGGAGTTTGTGGTGATCGCTGGTACCAGGCGCTTAACAGATTTGTTAGCTTCAGAGCCCGGGCCTCGGTGGCCCTAACAAGCTAGACCTGACACCCATTCTCTGTTGGTCAATTAAACAGGCAAGAGGTGATGAAGAGAGAAAGGTTTCTCAATATGGCCACATTGGGAACCGGAACAAAGTCGTTTGTTGGCTTGTCCTCCTATGCACCGGTCTATCTTCAGGGTCCTGATATGCTATGAGGTTTAGGTGTAGATGAACACAGGAAGTATACATAGCTAAGCATCTCTGGTCAGGGCATGGTCCTTATGGTCATCACTGCCTCTGCTTTCGTGTGACCTGAAGGCAGGTGGATACATACTAAACTGTATGAAAACTATTCCTGGGGCACAAGTGCCTTTCTGGCTGCTACCAGACCGAACTCAGTCTGCTCCTTCCAGCTTGAAATTTTGGGAAGAATTCTAATTTCCTGGAAGCCATCATTTCAAAAGTATATCATTTAAAGGGGAGGATACAAGTGTCTCTTTAGACTACCTTCATTCTGGCCACCATGATTATAATTCTGCTATTTGCACCTTTATAAAAATGTGGCAGACAGAAATAACTAAATATATCTCAGTTAGGAATGATCCATGGAGGCCCTAACTATTCTGTCGGCTCTGTGAGATAAATGAATCTTTAGCTTCCTATCTGTTTTTAAGTCCAAACATGTCTCCACTTCACATACAGAGACTATCAGGCAACAGATGTTTAGGTAGGGGTCAAAGACGTGTCTGTCTATACTGCCCTGAGCTTTCCTTCTCCTCCACAGATGGAAGATCCAACACACCAAGGCCTGGACCCCTGAATAACCAAGTACTTTACTGATCAATACCAGATTTGACCCAGGCAACTTTGTGGGGGTCATGAACTTGTCTTTGACAGTTCATACCCCACCCCTGCAATCCATGGTGGTATATTTTTCTCCTAATCATCTCTTTCCCCAGTAAGTTCTTTGCATCATCTTCTTGGGATGTTCCCACTCTTGGGAATATCGTGGACACCTAGGCATTATCTTATTTGTACCTATTCATCCCCCAAATATACTCGTCCTTCATGCTTAGGTCTCCCAGGGGCAAAGGGAATGTGGACATAGGAACCTAGTCTTATTAGCCCTTCATCCCCACCAGTTCCCAGTGTGTGAGGTCAGTAGAGAATTCAGTTCCAGTTACAGCAGAGATAATTCGCTAGACAGTGGTAAAGGGCTACTTCCTCCCAGAAGAAGCCCACTGATGTCCACTGAAGATAACATCTTCCTAAGGACCACATGTTTTAAATTGCCCCGTCTTCCTTGCCGGCCTGGAAGGATGGTAGCTCTAGCAGGCTCCCTGGGATTTCTCCTGTCTAGAGCCAGACCTGTGGCCACTTGGTACAGAAAAGACTAGTGTGGTGGAGATCTGAGCCTTCGTAGTGGCTTTGATGTTGGATATAGGATTCCTAACAGTGGATCCAAGACGCTAGAGCATCTGGAAAAACTGGATCGACCAGTCATTACACTGGCAGTTCTGCAATTAACACCGCTCATTCATGACACAGAAGCCACTTTTTTCTTCCAGTTTTAAGTGGCTGAACAGACAGATCTACAGCCAGGACCATCCTCACAGACAGGGTTGAAGGAGGAAGGAAAGTTGTCAAACTTACTCTGTTGTATAACTGTGGTACCATCCATCCATCCATCCATCCATCCATCCATCCACCCATCCATTCATTTGCTCATTCATTCTGCTTTTGAATTGAGATGCCCTGGAAATTAGAAAATGAATGTAACATCATTTCTTTCCACAACAGTCACTTGGGGCAGACCACCTTAAATAGAGACATCTGTATTCATTGAAGGAAGGAAAGAAGTTTCTTCAGGGGACACCTGAAGTGCAGAATGAGCAGAGATGTAGGCAGAAGTTTCTGTTCTGTGAGCGGCTCCCAAGTAACCACACAGAGGCT